TGTGAGAAGACGAAATGGAGCAATCCATGACTACACTTCTTGCATCACTACAGCAAGGGCCTTAGCGGGCTCTCAAAGAGACAAATCACCTCCCTTTACATGACACTCACACTAAACCAAAAGCTCAGCTCTCAGCCCTGTTTGTCCCATGACATTAGGTTGTGACTGAAACCTTTCCCTGCTGCTGTCTTCAGGTGACGCGTGCAATTCTGGCTTGTCATCAGTGTCATGCAACTCACACTACCAGTATTTAAGCTGGGTTGCAGTGGAAACAAGGAGAGAAACAGCAGCAGCAACTCCTCTACCAAGATGTGAGTCAGGGCACATATATAGGAAGGTCTGGTCTGTGTAAGCAGCCTCAACCAGCAGGTACGCTTCTATTGCCTGGCTGTTTGTTTCTTCTTTTACATTTTACCTTTTGCCATTTCAGCTGAACACAGTACTACAAAGCCTATGGTTTCTTTTTCATGTGACTGAAACAATTCCACATTACAAAAAAACATGGAAATGACTTCCTGGAGATTCATGGGGAAGTAAAAAGCAGTCTCAGCCTTGCTTTTGCTTTTCTTTTTGCTCACAGGAGAGAGAACTCAGCAACTACAAAAGAATAATCAAATATCATATAGATATGGAAGAAGTTGGCCTCATTTTTCTTGTTGGAAGAACAAAACCAGGATATCTTTCCATCATATCTTTGCTATTCCCTGCCTTGCTTCCGTCTGCTGTTCGTTACATATCGCTATTCCCTTGATTGTTCTGCTCAGACTGAAACTGCAGTTTTTGCACTGCAGTGAAAATCTTCAGTCAATAAACTGACCTTCACTGTCTCAAGCATCCATAGAAGACACAGGCTTTCTGCAAAGCACCAATCCAGAATGAGCAACTTTCCCTCTGTTCTTGGGGCTCCTCCATAGCACTTGACTACAATGTCAGCTCAGTACCCCTTGAATTTGCAAACAAAAGCAAAGAACCATATGGCAATGCAGGTGTCCACGTGCTGTGCCACCAATGGAGAGTACCTCCAAAAGCTTTTACTTCCTCTTCTAAAACAAAGGCATTTCGTTTCATGAATTTCCACCCTGTCTTGTAGAGTAGGAGGAAGGAGAGTGTTTCTATCATGTCATCGATGACAGTGTGCCTGGAAAGGACTAACAACAAACACATTCCTTCTTACAGCAGCTTTAATAAAATGTATAACAACTCTGAATATTAGGAATTTAAAGCACATAAATAATTGAGGTTTGTACCCTATGCAGATAGGGAATGCTTTCTGGTCCATATTAGGTTTCAACCTGTTAGAATTGTCATGGTGAATTTTAAAAAAATAAGATTTTGTATTAAAGAACAAAAAGAGTAAAATGCCAAGTTAATTTTGTGCTCTGCTGCCCACTTTAACACCAGCAGTTAAGTGGAGCTTTTCTGCTCAACTGTCAGTGCCAGTTCTTTCCTAACAGTCCCTGGTGGGAAGTGGCAATGCCCAGACAGGCAGCCAGGAGAAGGTTCTCCAGCCAACCATAGCTCCTAACTCACACTGCAAAAAGAATACTCATTTGTGTAGGAGCCTGGAACATTTAAAGCTGCCTTAAGCATTATCAGGCTCCCACATGGCCAACGCACAAAGCTGAAGAACCAGCCCAAGAAGTCTGTTTCCTACAGAATGAGTTTAAACGTCAGATCTCAGCCCAAGCAGGAGACAGAGCTTAAGGCAATCTACAAGGGAACTGTGTAACAAGTAGAACAAGACATCCATTAAAAAAGGAAAGTGGTGCAATATCTACTCCAGGATAAAGGCTGTGAAACAATGGAAGCTGCCAACAGCTGCAAATGAAAGAGAAAACTACAGAGAACTGACTTAGTCCCCACTTTGTGTTTCAAGGGAAGGAGCAACTCAGTAAGCACAAACAAGAGGTGCACTGAAGAATAAAAATGGCTCCTTTTTCACTCCAGATCCACATAAATAGCAGCGAGCTACTGCGCTGCCACAGTTGACTGAGGTGGTCTGTAATACTAACGACTTTGTGATTAGATGGCACTTTCAATCAGCTCATTTGCATTAGCAAATAATTAGTAGCAAAGTTGTTTCTATTTTTTACATTGCTATGATATATGCCAGCAAAATAAATGCTGCTGGCAATAGAGCAGTTGTGCATCTTCAGCCATTCCACTCATTCTTCGTAAACATCCAATAGGAAACCACAGGCACACCTGTCACTGTTCTCACATTGCAGCACTCTGCAGATCAGCTCTACACTGCACACATCCCAGGGCCCTGCTTGCATTCCTACTACACGTTCAATCAAAGTTCTGTGGAAACCAGCATTTTTTTTCCCATCTAAAAACCCCCAAAATGAACATATTCACTGCTTTTTAAACTGCTGTCTGAGTCACACAATGCATCCCAGCAGAAATCTAACAAGCACTGTTCCTGGAGGAGCAACTGGAGCCCAACAAAGTCCAGACAATCTCCACATCTGTACCCAGCAGGGTTCTGTCCAACACCTTCACAGCAAGGAGCTCAGCAGCGTTCTGACTCCCTCTCACAGCTCAGATCCAGCCTGATGAGCAGCTCAGGGGATGAAGGCAGCTCCTTGGCCTCATTTTCTGAAGGGCTTCTCCTCCGTGGGATTGCTGCTCTCGTGATCTCCGCTGGTACTGCCCTGATCCTATGAGCTGTAGAGCTAAAGCTGAAGGCATGAGCTGTAGACAGCCAAGGGATCAGCAATAGCATGGCACCATTCTTACACCAGCCCATAGCTTCTTTCCAGCTGGTGAAACCAGCCAGGTGAGCCTGGCTGCCAGCAGCCCTCAGAGAGCACTGGAGGGTTTCTACTTCTGAACACTTAAGCAGAGCAGGATGCCCCTGTGATGTAGGTCCTTGAGGATTTCTTTCAGATACCAAATTACTGCTTTCCTAATTTGTCTGTTGTACCACTCCTGCTTTTCATGCATATGCATGCAAGTATCCCATATACGCCTTTATGACATTTAAAAAACAAATAAATGAAAAAAAGAAAAGCTTAATGCTCAAGTTCAGACTGACAGTGTCACAGTACAGCCAGCTGAACACCCTAAGTATTCAACAGTTGAGGCCCCAACCAGAGTACCACAGAGAGCTCTGTAGTTATACCATGTGGGTGATGTCACATACAACAGCAGTGCAAACAACTGAGAGATGGACAGTAAAAGAAATTAAGTTCTGTATAGCATATTCTCTTCCACAAAGCTACATTCTAGACTACCTCTGATATTTACACTAAAAAATATATGTTAGTAGCACTTCCTTCTATGTGAAAGGGGCACAGATTTCTTATTTGAACCCTTCCAGATAACATTCCTTCTAACAGAATCATTCTAGCAATTCATTTAATAACATGTATTTGAGGAAAAGTAAAAACACATCTTCTGACATTGTTATTCACTCTTAAATTCTACTGTCTATCCAAGAACAGGATGGTTTGGCTGTTTCAAATCATTTAATTAATACTGTAACTTTAGTTTTACCCTTCACTTATCCCTTTTATAGAGAAAGATAACCACGTATGAAACACAGAGATGCAGTTTGCTGTTGTTTGATCCAGAACTGCTCCTCCCATCCCTAACAATCACACCCCTTTCATTCTGACCATCTCCAAGTACACTCTCATCACACTGTTCAGGACAGGCAGTCACCACAAAGTCCCCAAAAGCCCAGTTCCCTTCCAGCTGTGTAAACATGCAGAAAGAGAACTGAACTTATCTATATTAGTGGAAGGAAGGCACCCAATGGGAGCCTTGTCCGCAGCAGACTTACCGGTCTGTCTGCAGGACGTGTACCAGGTGCTCCATGGCTTGGATGCCCACCTCCAGCCGGTATTTCTGTGAGGAGAAAACATGGAGTTGACAACAAGCAGCTCCAAGCCCAAACAATGCTATCAGCAGCACATCCAACCATCCCTGTAAACAGCGCAGGTTTCCCTTAGGAAGCTCCTCCCAGGAGTCTGCCAAGAGCCCCAGGAATCCCCAGGGACCTCTCAAAGAGCTCCTCCGAAAAAAAAACAGAAACCCTCTCAGGAACGCCCACAAGGAACTCCAGGAAAGCCTTAAGATCCCCGGTGCTCACCTTTGACAGCGCCTTCAAAGCACGTACGGCGTCCCGGCGGTCATCTAGGAGCGTAGAGGAGGCCACCCGATCGCAAAGCTTCTGGATCTAGAAAGCACCGGGCGTAGGTCACAGCGCGGCCCCGCCAGGCCCGGTCCCCGTTCCCGCCCGCTTCCCTTGTCCCTCACCGTATCGGCGCCAGAGGGCTGCGGCCCGGCGCTGGGCCCCCCCATGACGCCCCGCAGGAAGTTCATGGCAGTTCCGCTGCGCGCCCACCGGCTCCGCACACCGCCGGCCCCGTTCTACCGCTCCCGGCCCCACCGTCCCCCCCCGTGCCGGAAGCGGCCACTGCGCATGCGTCGCGACGTGGCGCCGACGTGGCCTCCGGCGGGGGCGTCATCACGATGGCGGCGGGACTTAGCGTGAGCCACGCCTCTCCCCCCTCGGGTCGATACCCGTGGGCCGTGAAAGGGCCGTTCCTGTGGCCGGGGTCGCACATTCACAGCAACAGCAAAGTGGTTCCTTATGCTGCTGCAATTCCCATCAGGCGTCAGTGGGTCACGGTGTACTATGAGAGGGGGGTCTCCTCCCCTCAGCGACTGCGAAGAGAAACTCAGCATTTTCAGTCAAGTTTTATTTTCCACTCGGTTGTTACAAAACAGATGCTAGAAAACAAGCATTATTCTAACGTAAGCTAAAAACGTAAGCCTCCCTCAGCGGAGCACCGACCCTAAACGCGACGACTGGCACCACACCCGCCCGCACCAGCGCCGACTCCCTGTAAGGGCACTTCCGCCGGAAGCTGACCTCTCTCAGCCGAAGGGACTTCCTCCGGAAGTACAGCACCACCCGTGGCGTAAGTGACCTCAGTGCAAAGACTTCCGCCGGAAGCGGAGAGTAGACTCGCGCCCCGCGGACGTCACATCGCACGGCCCCTCCCTCCGCCCTGTGACACCGCTGCCGGCCCCGAGCAGGCCCCGGGGGGAGCGCCGCGGCCCCGCGCACGCCGAGTCTCTTTCCCCGGGTGAGCGCTGTGGCAGGAGGGGATGAGGGGAGCGCGGGGTCCGCATCGACTCGGGGTCCGCTCTGTCCTTCGCGCTGCAACGCCTTCGGGCCTTGGCCGTGCGGCGGGGTTGGGGCTTTTGCTCCTGGCGGCCGGAGGGTCCCTGTCTCTTCTGTAGCCTTATGGACTGCCTCCAGGGGAAGAACTCTACGCGCCGAGCGGGTTTCTGCGAGCCTCTCATTTTGTTCCTAAGCAGGGCGCGGGGTGTGCTCGGGTTTTGCTGCCCTTCACCTCGGAGGGCTGCATCACGCAGCGTCGAGGTGCGCAGCAGCATCATCCCCAGAACGGGGATTTTGCGTTGCTACGGTGGTGGGGTGCCGTCGGGCGCTGAGCTCTGCGCCAGGCACCGGAAGAGCCAGTGCAGTGGGGGGGAGGGAGAAAAGATGCGGCCATGGCTTCATTTCACTCAGAAAACATTACTTCATTTTCTAGTTTTTATGATTGTTGTGTGATTTTTTTTGCAATCTTTGAGCCTTCTATAGATACAATTCAGTGTGCCAGTATTCTGCTTTCTTACAAAGTGAAGTGTGAAGATGCTTGAAGTGGTTCTGATCTGCAAAGACACAGGGTGCAGTACTTTTTTCTTAGGTCAGTTGTTGTGCATGCTCTGGATGTGAAACCTACATCCTTAAAGACAGTGTTCTGCTCTCTAACCTGTAGTGGTAGAGGGATGTGAAGGCTGAGAGAACTCCTAGTATGTTTTCCTTGTTCATAGAAGGTGCTTTCAGGTGTCTCAGGGTCTTTCTCTTTTTCTTCTGTATGCTGTAAATTTGTGAGCAGGAGCAGAATAAGGTCACTGCAGCTCAGTGGCAGCGATTTCTCTGCAGCGTAGCTATGCTGCCCTGCTCAGTGCTGTGTGGCACAATGCAATGCAGTCATGGAGTGAGCCCTCCTATGGACGTGCACGTCTCTTTCAGGAGAGCTATGTTAGTGAAGCAAGTCCCTGGCAGAAGATCTGTGTTATGCTGTGATGAGCAGGTACCACATTCTTAACCTTACATTTCCAGCTCAGAAGATGTTGTTACTGCCAAGCTGGTCTTGCTTTAACTGCTGGAGTTAATGAATCGTTAAAAAGGTGTTCTATGTTCATTGTGACCATATGCATGCCTGCAGGGTCATAGCTGTCTTGAGAAAGCTTTCTTATTCCTAAGGGAACACCATCCTGCTTCCAGACTTGTTCAGGGCTCTGGTAGCTTGGGTTTAATCCTTGTTTACCATGAAAAATGTTTTTGTAATATTCCAATTGGCAGATTTTGGCTCACTGTAGGGAACTGTGATCTGTATTGTATGAATTTTTCATTAGCAGAATAAAATCTCTTCTGCATTAGCACAGCTTAAACTGGAGAGAGAGCACATGGAGCCAACCATCCAATGTACTGATCTGCTACTGTTTTTCTGGATTTGATGTTCTGCGTAAAAATGAGGTTTCAAATTATACATCTACAGTTGGGCTGTACAGTTACAGTTGAGAGAGGATAGTAGGATGCTGAGCATACACTGACCACACATAGTGTCTTAACACACAATGTTGAATTGGATTCTTTCTTTTCCGTGTAGCAATTGTGATACTGGATGTCAATTTTTTTGAGAGCATATGGCAAGTGAAGACCTTCTTTGCAACTCGGGGAATATGTGAGAAGAGCAGTGTATCAGGCTGGTGGGTAGATTTGGTGACAGGAGAAAGGCACAGAAACTATTGCTGAATGGCAGGGTCCAGGGAGAGGGAGCTGAAAGGGGCTTCCTGGAAGGAGGTGGCAGTGACTGCAGGTGTTGTTGCTGCTTTTATTCAGGTGAGTGTTGGCTCTTTTGGATGGTCCCTGTCAGTAGTCTTATGTCTAAAATACACAGTGCCTTTAAGCTCCTCAAAAAAAAAAAAAAAAAAAAAAAAAAAAGGCAGCATAAAACAAAACCTATCACAGAACAGCTTGATTGGAAAGAGCCACATGTCTTGCCCTGGGGCTCAGCCAGTTCAGATCCTATTGGATTTAATAAAGGAGATCATAAAGCGAAGTAATTCTCTGAGATATTATTGAGGTTCACTGGCTCTTACTTGCTGATGTAGGATGATATGAATGCTTACCTTGCAGAGCAAGGAAGGGAGAAGTTGCTTTCAGGAATGAACAGGGCTGTCAGGGGCTTTCAGTTGTGCTCTCAATATTGTTTCAGTCTGGTCAGTGCTTATTCTGCTTTTGCCTGCAATATTACCAGTGTGGCAGGGCTGTGTTACAGCTTGTGCCAGCTGGACTGACCATTGCAGCAAAGTTTTTGCTTTATTCAAGGTGTGGTTACTCACGCACTGTATTGCAGCAGTGAGATCTCACATAGATCACAGCAGCAAGCATGTTCTTTAAGGCATTATTTGGTTGTCTGTGTTAGGAAAAGCAATTCAAGTGTGGTTGGTTCTTGGCCTTCTGGAAGCCCCAATTTTACCTCTCGTGATGGTCTGGGTTTAGGAGAATCCTGTCCAAGATGGAGAAAACCACTTTCTCCTTTTTTTTTTTTTTCCTCCACTGCTGCTAGATAAGAAGCAGCATGATATCTGCTGGGACTTCACTCTGTGTGCTCACTACATGGGTAACATCTTCTGATTTTTCAAGAGTGTTTTGCCAAATTTTATTTTGAATTTAAATTGTATATTCCATCCTGGTAATCAATCTTGGCACAAGCTGTGGACATCTGAATGCAAGAACAAACCACACTGCTGCAGATATTTGTGAAGCAGTAGCTCCTTAGCCATGTTCCTTTAGTCATGGAAGAATTGCAGTCAGAGTGTGAAGGATGAAACTTGCCTGTCAATACATCAAAAGCATTAATTTGCTTATATATATTTTTAAATAAAGCAAAGCCTGCTTGTCCTTGCCATGTGACCTCCATAACCTACTCCCAGTGCCTTGTCACATATGACTGGTCACACTGCTGCTTCTACATGCTAAGGAAAATTGTATCAGAAACTTCGTTTTGAGGAAAAACGAAAGCTTCTGTGATGTGAAAGATCTGATAGGTAAGATGTGTGTTGGTGGATGTTGTGACTGCTCTGCACTTTGTGCTCCTCTGTACCTTTTTAGGAGCAAATTGCTGCTGCCTTCCTTTGCAAACTGATGGATTGGTAGGGTTTTTGTTTTGATGTTTTCCCTTCCTACATGAAGAATTAACAAACACAATTTAATAAATGGAAGTTTTGTGCATAGAGATTATTACAGGCTGAATACGTGGCATTATTAATTCTCTTGAGCGATTATTGCTACAGTTGATAACCAAGCACTTGAGCACAGTTGTCCTAACTCAGCTATGTCTCATTGTTTTGTCTCTTAACAGTATCATCAAAGGGCGTTTTTTTGCAGAGCTTAGAGAAGTCTGCAATAACCCCATACAGGAATGTTATTCGATGTAACTTTGCTGCTGTCACGAAGATAATACTTATTTCAGTGTTGTCCTTCATTTGTAGTTGGTGTTCCCTTTCAGAAGAAAATATCTTTTGTTTTCTTGGGTCCTCATCCTGCAGTCTGATACAAGGTCTGTTAGTGTAGGTGTGGTTTTCTTCAGCGCAGGAATGCACTGTGAATTCAGCGTGCCTTGCTGATAGCACAGGAAATGGCAGTACTGCTCGAGTGCAGCAAGTTGGCTCTGCTTGGTTAGCTGCTGGGGCAGCTTGCCTGCAAGCAGTTACCTGGGGGTGGTTGTGCTGCTCCAGCTGTGTGGCTTTTGCCAGGTATGTGGCATAAGGGGCTTCTGAAGCACAATAGTTGCACTGTAATGAAACCAATAGATAAATGTTATTTCTGCTGTTGGCTATCTCTGTGACAGTGTTTTGTTTCTGGCCGGTATAGGCTCCAGCATCTCTAGTGATAAGTTCTTACGAAGACATTTTCCTAAAGACTGTGGAGGCTTATCTACTAAAAAAAAAAGTGATTCCTTTTATTCTACTGAGAAATTGCTCAGATGGTTACTCTTTGTCTTGCAAGTATCTATCTGAAAACTGGAAAAAGAGCTCCTGTAGAGTATGTCTATGTATGGGGCTTCTGTTAGTGTCTGGCAGAACATAGAGATAACAGCTGGTTTCAATCCTGACTGTTCACGTTGGTGCAGATCAGCAATCACCTTTGTTGGCGCTCAGGCAGCTTATGTTTTGGCTTAAATGTCCCAGGTACATTCAGCTCCCAAATCACCAGGCCGGCTGGGACTTGGGTCCTGGGCCTTGAGGAGGTGCAGCACTACCTGGAACAACCAAGGCGTAAATGTACAGTAAACCTGGGTTCTCGGGACTCATGTTGATTGGTAACAAGCAGTGCTTGCCTTTTTATTTAGTTGCCTTCTAATGACTTAGAGGTTCAGTAAGCCTCTTCTAACTCTGTAAGAATATTTGAAGAGATGGTGCAGAGAATAATGTTGGAAAGGCGAAGAGTTATACAGATACATCCTGTTAAACAGTGGTATTCTCTGAGGTAATGGTCCTTTCACTTGAAACACGGGCAGAGGTGGACTGTACACATCTCAGCAGCACGTGAACCCATTTCTCTGTGTTGTACAGGAAGAGTTAGCTGTGTGTGATTATTGTGCACTTGTCTTTCTTGGGTTTGCTGAAATAGCACTTCTAATGAAAAACTTGTGTGCAATACAGCTCTGGTGTGGGGTAATAACTCCCTCCTAGGTTATTGTGTTTTGTACCCGGAGGCGTTTTCAGTGCTCCATGCGGTATGCAGCAATTTGTTAACATGTGTACTGTGCTTAATGCTATAGGGATGTGTTCTGGCTGTGATTGGCTCTTTAACAGGTTCTGATTTAAAAAAGAAAAGAAATTAGGAATTTCTGTCCCTGTGTTTTCTCTCAAGTGCTTGTGGTGATCGTGGCGCTGTGTTCTCACCTCCTTGGGGACAGGGCAGCAGAGAAGCATTGTGTCACCTGTTTCTTTAATTTTTATTTACTCTTTTAAGATTGGCTTCTAAGTACCATTTACCTGTGCACACCATTGTTATAGTATAGTATAGTCAGGTCAGGAAGATCCTCCCATGGTTTGCATTGAGTTTCTCAGCAGATGCTACTTTGAGCATGGGCATGGCTCAAGCCTGTGGTGTTCTGTTGTATTCTTGGAAATAATTTTGGTAATTATACCTAAAAAATAAATGTCATTTGGGAGTTTCCACAAGTCTCAGTTAATTCAGTGTTCCCAAGTCTTGGAGGGTTGTCTTTAAAATTCTGGATAAGCCCATATATGTTTTCTGATTTTTTTATCTCCAGTTTCAGAACTTGTGTTCAAGACCTTGCCTGCTGGCTGTTTCTGAGACCATTGCTTTGAGGGCATTTCTGACTCATGGTGTTTGATAATAGTTTGAGGTACTGTTTGTGGCTTGGTTGGGGTTATTTTAATAGTACATGAGCAAAAGTACTTGGGTGTTTTGTTTTCATCAGGTCTTGTTGATGCCAGATCTGATGTGTTTGTGATACTCCTGTATGCATTTCACCTTTAATTACAGGCTCTTTTGAGCTGAAGTTAATTTCTAAATTTCTCCTTGTGTGCTTTCTGTCTTTGGAAAGCTGTGATGGGAACAGCCTTTTACATGGCCCATAGTTTTGATTGCTGAGCTGAGGTTATTTTCGTAGGAAAACAAATATTATTTTAGGTTGTTGGAGACTGAGGTATCTTGAGAGAGAGGACTGAGAGTGCTGGACTCTGAAGCCTGGAGAGCAGAGGAGTGGGGTGGGAGATGCATTGCTACTGCATACCTTGATGAGATCATGCTTCTAGGTAGACCATGTGAAAATAGGAGCCAGTGTGCAAAATTGTGGGTGGAAGGTCTACTCACGTGGGTCCTAGTTTCAACTGGGACAGAGATGATTTTCTCTGTTGTATCTGGTAGGATGCTCTGTTGCGGTTTTAGGAGAAAAACAGTGTTGATAACACAGTGATGTTTTGGTCATTGCAGAGCAGTGCTAGAGAGAGGCAAGGACATTTTGGCTACTTGTACTGTCCTGTCCATTGAGGTAACTGGGAGGCACAAGGAGCTGGGAGGAATCAGAATTAGAATGGCTGACTCAGACTAGCCAAAGGGATATTCCATGGTGCATGATGTGTTGCAGAAAATGCTTAAAGACAGTGGGAAGTTGGTCAGGGGGTGCTGCCACTGCTTGAAGACTGGCTGTGCATTGGTTGGCAGGTGCTGAGCAATTGCCTGTGCGTTGCTTGTTTTGTTTATATAAAATTATCATTACTGCTATTTCTTTTTTCCTTTTCTAAATAGCTTTTATCTCAACCCACGAATTCTATTTCACTGTTGGTTTGTTTGTTTTTATCCTCAATTCTCCTCCATCCCATTAGGATCTATTCCAACCTTTTAATTATTCGTCAGTTTAATTGCCAAAAGTCAAATAGATAGTGCTAGACACTCTTAATAATCTCTTTTGTCTTAGGGCAGGGTAGGAAGTGCCCCATTTTCAAGGGACTGAGTAAAGTTCATTTGTTTTCCCTGTTTCTTTTCAGTCAGAATGGGATGTTAACAGGAAGAAATCTTTGTATTTACTCCAAGGAACGTTGGGGATGGATCTTGAATTCAAGTTCCTGTTTGTGTAATTGTTTCACTTCTAATATCACTATACTAATCCTTTTATTAGGACATTGTGATATATAGGGTTGTCTTCAAACTAACAGGAATATTTTTAATTGCAGCATTCGACCCTGTGTACCAAAGAAATGGTGATGGAGAAGCCCAGTCCCCTGCTTGTAGGGCGGGAGTTCGTCAGACAGTACTACACTCTGCTCAATAAAGCTCCTGACTTCCTGCACAGGTAACACTGACACAACAGTAACCAATGGTTTTGAACAGAAACACATGTTCTTTATCAAAAATCAGATACTCAGTAGTTTCTGAGTGTGGCAGGAAATTGACCTGATTAACTTTTGGGTTCTTGGAAAACATGTTACAGAAAAAAGCCTTCAGATTCCAGAAGCAGATGTATTTATAGGATGTATGGCTGTTCTTAAGATATTTCCTGCCTGGAAAAGTGAGCTGTTTCTCACAGGTAGGGTTGTAATCTGGAAGCATCAGAGAAGCAATGTTATTTAAAAAAAATAAAAAAAATTAAAAAAATTTTTTTTTAAATTAAAAATAAAAATAAAAAAGGAAGGAAAGTTGTGGATGAAGCACCTACGTGCTGCACCGGAGACAAGCGTGCTGACTTTCAGTATACTGAATTTTGTATTATCTTTTGAGTAGCTTTTGTCTAGGTCATGACTGGAGATCTAAGTATAGAAGTCAGGGCCTGGACAAGGCATTGGCACATACACAGGTTTTATTTACCTGTGCCTGCTGTTTCACTGCGGCTCTGGATGTGTTCCTTCTTTTTATGGTTCTGATTGCCTACATACCGTTTGTCACTTAAGATACTGTATTTCCACATTTGGATTCAGAGCAACACAGACTTTTGATAAAGGTGAAGTTGGCTTTGCAAGTGTTTCTTGTTGCTGCTGTTTTTAGAGCCATTGCTGCTTGGATCTCTTCTCTCAGAACTTGACATCAGGTTGATTGTGGAGAAATGGAATTGTTGAAGTTAGAGCTCCTTGATGGGAAGCTGAGGACTTCAGCCTTGTGAATAATGTCTCTTTTCATCTGGAGCTGTGAGATAGGGAAAATGGATGGTATCGTTTTTGCTTAAATCACTGAGCTGCTGTGGAACAATGTTTGTTTTTCTTTTCTGACTTTAAATGTAGATCTTAAGGGGTAGGGTTGCCTGAGCAGCATGTTTCCAGGCACTATGCTTTGTAGTCTAGCTGGAGACCCAAGCAGCATTTTCAAAAATTGCAGATTGTTCCTTGCCCCAACACTTCAACAAAAGAGTTAGGTCCAACAAGCAGCTAATAAATATATCCATATGACACACTAGTACCTGTGTATAAACTTGCAGTTTTCTCTTATCCAAGAGTTGTGTTCCTTACATATCATTTCTGGGGCATCTCCCCAGATGGCCTGGGAAAGGGCTTGTGTCTTCTTGTTGGTTTCAGATGCAGCTCTCAGATAGTTTTGTTACCTGCTCTGTCAGTAGTTAGTATCTTGTCCATATAGCTAACCATCCATTGCCTGTGAAGACTGGGAAGTTGAAATTCTTCTAAGACTTACAAAGGGTGTGACAGCACCAACAATTATACCTGAGCCAAGGACGCAGTGGAATTCCTGATAGCCAAACAACCAGGTAATTGCTGAAGGATAGAAAAGCCCAAGTTGATAAGGCAAGTTTATTGTGAAGTGTGCTGTCATTTCACTTTAAACCCAAAAAGTATTTGCATGAAGAGAGGAAAAGAGCTGATGAGGTGTTTATGCAGTGCTTTAAAGCTTAGTATGAAAGGTATAAGGGGAATTCTATTACTTTTGCTGGGAGATTGCCCTTTCCTTTCTGTAACATTTTTGTTTCAATGACAGTTGAATATAGGGATAAATCACCCATACCTCAAACTCACTATTGAAAGCAGTCTGTTTTGTTTGCAAGAGCATTTACCTGTAATGATGGCAATTGTAACCTTGGCAGGGCTTGGAGGAGGAGAACATGTGTTTTGATTTAGAAAGCAAAATACTGCTGGAATGTTTTTCCTTTCTGTCTGCTTCAGCCAAAGAGCAAGCAGCTATTTCAGGTTTGCCTTGCCCCTGCTTCCCCTTTAATGCAATATTAATTCCATTGCATTGATGTTAACACCTGCTACATGAGCATCATAGAGTTGGCATTCCCTGGTGCATTATGGACGTGGGCTGATGCTTCCAGTTTAGGGTGGCATAAAATTTATAGCAGGCTGCACATGAGGCAAAAGGGTGCCTGTAGAGACACTCAGCACGTAAGGGCATTTGCCTTTGTGTTCATTGGCCACACCTTGAGTGTGTGTGATGCTCTTCTGAGAGGGCGCCTTCTCTCTGATCTTCCTCCTGCTGTGACTTCAAGCAACAACTTGCACATTGCCATAGAAACATTTTGAATTCTTGGCTTCCCAGAACCTGACGGTGAAAGAAAAGGATTAATTTTTGCAGTGAGCAAGAGATTTTGGCAGCAAGTGCTAATGCTCTTGGTTTATTCTTCAAGGGAAATGCACCAAGTGTCTGTCACCTGTTGTTTTCCAAAGCTTATTGAGGGACATGCAGAGATTTTAAAAGTTTGCCTCAAAATGGGTCCTTCTTGGTATCATTTGTATAGTATTACTGCCTCTTATTTTACAGTGCATATTTCCATGTGTGTGAGGACTCAGTAGAGCCTCCTTTCCTGATCTGCAGTTCCCATTTGTTATGTTTTCTGCCTGACAGAGAGTTTGAACAGTTCCTTGAAAGCAAGCTAGAACTACTGGTCTCCCTGTGGGAAGTACTTGGTGGGATGCACTGACCATCCGAGAGCTAAAGGGTGGTTTCCCACCTGCCTACATGCTGGTTTAACCGAACCTTGATTTTTATGTTAGAACGTCCTAGAGCATGCTCAAAGCCACCATTATGCAGCTGGTACCAAAGAAAATAGTTTAATTTATAATTTCTTGTTGGAAACTAAGGGCAGTTATAATCTTGGCCTGGTATTTGTAGGAAATTGGAACTGGAAGGAGTTTCTTGGTCTAGTGGGATAAAACAAGAAATGGCAAATGCACATGTTCTCATGTTTGATTCCTCATCTTAATGCTTATGTTGTGCACTGCTTGTTTAGCCAGAGACAAACATTCTGTATCCTTGCTGTGTGATAAATAGTTCATGAAAATACCAAAAGGAAATGTTATTTCATACATCAAACACTATCAAGGGGTGGACATTAGCAGAATTCTTTGGAAGTGGTGAAATATTGGAATTAAGACCTCATGGCGGTCATTCCTGAGGTAAAGCTTGATTTGAAATGAAATGCAACATTATGTTGTTGCCTTCTTGGCTATTAATGTAAATTTACAGAGTATTAAGCATTTGTCACATGCTTTATAAGCTGGTAGTAAAAATACAAAATGTGACTTAGGCATTTCAAGACTCAGAACTTGGAAGTGGAAAGAGGGTACAGAAATAAAAATCCCTGAAATGTAAGAAAAATATTGAAAGCAAGTGTGTGATGCAGAGGATAGGGGGGAAGTGGTTTTGAAAACAAATCCAAAATTGGGTCAAGAAATGTTTTTTTTTGTTTTTTATTGGTTTAAGAGCTCAGTAGGCATGTGCTCGGTGCAAGATGAAAAAAGCCACTGCTGCTAGCTGGCTGTCACAAATACAAAATGTGAGCTTTGTGCTGAAAGTTAAACAGTGGAGGTGGTAAGAAGTGGTGCTTCAGTTATTGTAGATTATTGTGCAATGAGTGCAAATAATATAACATTTGCTATCTAATTGTAAGAACTGTAGAGGGTAGATTGACTTTACCACAGGCAGATAGTTTTAATGTTCAGGGAACCCCAAGACCAAATAGCCAGCTCAGTTAGAGTGGGTAAATCAGACTGCTGAATGTTAAACGTCTTTCCTTCTGTATTCTTGGAATCTTAGAATTGATCTTGAATTGTTTGTGCTGAAATTCCAAATACTTTGATATCTGTAACTGGTGGCTAAAATATTGTTGGTTTTGGCTCTTGGTTTTTTTTTTTTTTTTTTTTTTTTCATTGATATTATCTTTACTATCTTTTCATTTGCAGGTTTTATGGCAGGAATTCTTCTTATGTCCATGGAGGACTGGATGCTAGTGGGAAGCCACAAGAAGCAGTGTATGGCCAAGCTGTATGTATCAACGTTGGGCCTGAAGTCCTTATTAATGTTCAGAACTAAATGTAGTTTTTCATTTTTAAACAAATTGTTTGATTTTCCTATCTGGGAAATAGCACGTTGCTATAGTGCCTCCTATTCAGACACCTATATAAATATTTTATGGCTTTTTTGTCTTGATTGCTGCTGTTGTTACTGTGGGTTATGTTTGATATATCAGCTTTGCATCCAAATGGAGAAAATATATTTAGGAAGGGTAACCTTTTTTGACTGTTCTGAACAGTATTTGAGTCATGATGAAAAACTAATTCCCTAAGCTCAGATAGACTCTTCTCAGTGAAAGGTGTTCCTGGGTTCCTGCATTTTCCTTTTGAGCTTCAGTGGGGGGCTTTTTCTGTTTGTTGAGACTTAGGCGTGAAGCTGTGTATAAAACTCAGTGTAGCTGAAATATAACTGTGTGTTTCCAGGAGATACACAAGAAAGTGATGTCACTGCAGTTCAGTGAGTGCCACACCAAGATTCGCCATGTGGATGCTCATGCCACTCTGAGCGATGGGGTGGTGGTGCAAGTCATGGGGGAGCTGTCTAACAATGGACAGCCCATGAGGAAGTTCATGCAGACCTTTGTACTTGCTCCAGAGGTAAGTAGCTGTAAGATCATGTTGAACTTCAAATGGCCCAAAGCTTACAGAGTGTGCCTCAAAGCTTACATCTCCAATCCATACGTACTGATGAGTTCTGATGTATCATATATACAACCAAGTGTGTGTTGCTCTTCTACAGGGGTCTGTTCCAAACAAGTTCTATGTACATAACGATATCTTCAGATATGAAGATGAAGTATTTGGGGATTCTGAAGGAGAACTTGATGAAGGTAAGAAGAACTGTACTTGTGGTGTAGAGTTGGTTTATTCGTCTGATGGTGCCAATCTTTCAGAGTGTTTGGAGGACACGGAAAGATGCAAACTGTTCCATTCTCATGTAGCGTAGTATGTGGCTAAGGAAGAGTGTAGGTCATAATATTGGGACTATGTGCTGTCTTCAACATTGGAAAATGGAGGTCTTACATTAAAACCTTATTTCTGTGGGGACTGCACTGCCTTTTCGGGTGGATGAGACTTGGTGAAGAAGGGTTGTAGTGAGCAGTAGTAGTTTTGCTACATCTGAGTGTTGTTTAGTAGACTAGATTTCTGTGGTCAGTCAAATAAAATGTAACTGTTTTTTCAAATATGAAGTGTCATTCACTCCCATATCATCATCATGTTCAGGGGTTCGTTTCTGTCCCTGAGCTGAACTTTATTGTTCTGGGTGATTTTTCTCTTGCCCAGTCTATTGAGCCAAAGCAAATCAAAGGAGAGTACAACTGGGATGTACTGGATAACTTCAGGGATTTATTTAATCTCAACAGCATGGAACAAAACATTTTAGACAAATGATTCTTCTTGTGTTTGAGGTTTACTTTGTTAGTGTTAGGTACTGTGATTTTAAGAGCTAATAATGTTTATTTTACATGGACAACATATGAAAGTGTCCTGCTGCTTCAAAAGATCCTTCACTCTTCCTCACAATAGTAGTAGTAATGGTAGTAGGTATATCTCTGGGGTGTCATTTTTGTGAAAACAGTAGGAAGCAAAGCCTTTGAAAAAGAATAGAAGGGGCTCTCACTTTCTTTTCAGCTCATTTTGCCTTATTTTGTTGATGACATGTGATTTTTGTTATACTACTAGTTCGGCATGCTTGTACTGTAGGTGAGGCTTGTGTATGCTTGCAGAGGTGCTCAAGGAATTGTTTCTTTCATGGCAGAGTCTGAAGAGGAGGTGGAGGAAGAACAAGAGGAAAGACAACCATCACCTGAACCTGTGCAAGAAAATGCAAGCAGTACCTACTATGAGAATCATCCTGTCACGTAAGAAGGCCATTTCATTACAGCATTGCTTTCTAAAATAAAAACAACAGAATTGCTTTGGGTTTAGGCTTTGGATGTGATTTAGCAGTTAATCTAGGAAATTACACTTAAACTGATATGGATCTATGCTGTGTCAACATCACATTTGAAATATTGATTTCGTGACTGGAGAAAGAAAGGAGGGGAGGTTTCATGTCCGCTATTGTTTTCACTTCTAGTTTCAAATATGAGATAAAAAGGCAGTAAGTGTGCTTGTGTACATACTTAATGCAGTCTTCATTATGTAAGCTCACAGTAGTGATATGTTATAATAATCTGTATGAACAGATGTTTTAATGAGAGAGTGGTTAATCATGTGTTAATCCTCAATTTAGCTGGTGCTTGAAGCTGGAAGGGAGAGGTAATTTTTAAGAAGTTGCCTTGGAAAAATAGACTTTTTTTTTAAGTGCTTTTTTAAACATGTCGGGCATTGCTTTTAAAGAGCCAGATCTGACTGGTTTCCTTATGAACAGAAACAGTTCTTGAGTTCATCATCTATTCCTTCAAGGGTTTCTACATCTAATTTTCAGATTTTTTGCTAAAAACTGTAAAACGTCCTCACATTAGCAGAAATAAAATCTGGCTTAGTGTGCAGCTATAAGTGCACAGCTTAACTTAATGTGATATCATATACAAAGGTACCATATGGTAACAACTAGGAAACCAATCATTACAAAATCAATCATTACCACTGTATAACTTTAAGAAAAAGCCATAAGAAGGAAGCAATTGAAAAGCTGCATAAAATGCATTTGACTATTGTAGCAATGGTATAGAGGAGGCACTGGAAGAATCGTCTCATGAGCCTGAGCCGGAATTGGAATCAGAAACAAAACCTGAGGAGCTGAAGACTGAGGTAGAAGAAAAGGCTCTTGAGGAGCTGGAAGAGAAGTCTCCTTCTCCACCTCCTGTAGAACCTGTTTCACTACCCCAAGAACCACCAAAGGTCAGTTAAAATACGTATCCGTGCTTCTTGGTGCAGATGGTAAACCAAAAGGTTTGGATCTGATCTTAGTCATTTTGAGTGGCCAAACTCTTTTCAGTATCTGAAACTGTCTAGATTTAAACCTTCAACTTAAAAAAAAAAAAAAAAAAAAAGTTGTGAAATGTCACCAAAAAAGTTGTTCTTCAATGCTATTCAAGTTATGTATTGTAGATGTAATGCTCTGTAAAGTGTGTGTGTGGTTTTATGCATGTGTTAACCTTTTTAAATGTGTAGTTAAGGTATATTAAAAAAACAATCCAGACCATCACCAACGAAAAACTCATGTAATGGGAACCACTGCTCTTCCTTTAAAAAACAAAAAACAAATGCATGATGCGTTGGCACTTGAAAAATGATCCATAGTATAGGTTAAAAAAAAGTCTGGAGGCTTTGATTGTCTCCCTTAGAAGCAGGATGCCTAATTTTAAAAAGTGCCATGCGTCATCTGATACAGTAACTTGGAGGTAGCTGAAAGAGATGGGAGGAGTGGATGACAGCTGGAGAGAGGTCGTTCTCTAGCTCCAACATCAGTCTCCCGTATCTTTTCAATCCTGTTCCTCTTTGCTGTTTTTATTTCTAACTTCTGGCATCCACTCTCTTCCTTTGTGCAGAAGACACTGAACACTGCAGGATTGTCAGTGCTAGGGAAGCAGTGAGCTGGGGATGCTGAGCGAGCCCAGCTTGTTTCAGTAGTGGCAGTAAGAGCTGCACACCCTGCTCTGTACTGTTGGAGTCTACAAATGGCTTGAACTGCAAATCCTGCTGTATCTTTGTAACGTTAAGTAGTCAGCTATGAACCAAAAGTATATTTTCAGCAGACAAGTTTCCCTGTATGTCAGTGGTTTTCATGATGAGTAGCCTAGGTTTGTTGCATTTCCTGCAGGCTTTCTCTTGGGCTTCAGTGACCAGTAAAAACCTGCCTCCTAGTGGTACTGTTTCCTCCTCTGGAATTCCGCCCCATGTTAAAGCACCGGTCTCACAGGTAACCCATCTGTGAACACCTTGGATTGTCTCATTACTTCTGCAAACTGCTTCCGTTTTTCAATTAACAGATCAATTTGTTTGACTTTCATTGCACAAATTAATTGTCTTAAATGTGAATGCGTTCACCTTGTTGTAAGTGTAAGGCACATACACATAGCAGGTGTAACTTTGGGTGTAATCGTGGTAACGTTAAAAACTGCTCATGTGAAAACAGGAAATCACTGATTTTTCTTTGTTTTTTTTTTTTACCTATCTTACTGGGATATGATTTGAAAACAAACAAACAAAAAGCCCTCAAGCAACTACTCCCATAGCAGTTATTTCCTAAAGTGTGTGTGAAAGGGGAATTTCTTTGGCAGAAGTACCCCAGCAGTCAAACAGAGTGCATCCTTGTTGAGAAGGTGCAAGTTTGCCTTGAAGAGATATTGTCTACAGAAGTATGTTGGACTCCATTATCCATACATATTTAATTTGTCTCAGAACCCTGTACCAACTTATGACTGTGTGGGGGATGGAAGGGTTCACATGTCCTGGTCAGGACAATGCTGTCTTCCCATTCCTAGGCTGATGTGGAAAGGAGGGGAGAGAAAAGAGAAAGTTTGAAAAGACTGGGCAATAGCTTATGTTCTGCACGTGCCAAGTTGGTGAGATGCTTTGAGACTCTGAGCTGCTTTCATGCATACAAAATTCTCCAAATAAACAACATGCTTTAATCTTTCCTACCAGTGCCATACTCCAGCAGCACTGTGTGTTGCGGTACTCATGTCCAATGCTTTACAAAGACTGTAATTTCAGTAGAGCAGCTGGTTTGTTTTATGGCAGCTGCTGTTTTAGCTTTGCGTTCTTCTGTGTTACTGATATAGAAGGACCTTTCTAGGAGTACCCTTAAGCTAAGTACATGTTTAAAACAAAACATCACAAAACCAAGCCCCTGCTTCTGTGGTCCTGCTTCTGCTCCTCTGGGGCTGTTGCGGAAAACGAGTGATGTGTGTCACTGTGCAGTGAGTAGGGAAATGTGTCTCATCAACTTCAGCAGAGCTTTGAGTTGTTCAAGTGATATTGGAATAGTAAAAGCAGTGTTTGTTCTTATACAGAATGGATTTGCCTTAAGCAAAACCAGATGTGTTTTTTGTAACAGTGACTTATTTGCAGTAGAGAGGGTAGTTTTTTTTATATTCATAATTAAAATGCAAGAAGCATTTTGAAATACTGGTGTAAGAAACTAGAGTACAAATCACAGACGTCCCCTAGATCTTTCTGCTCCCTCTGCAATTTGTCACGCTCTGCACCTTTTTGTTACTTTAGTTCTGACCTCATGTTGAAGGAGGTCTGCGTGAAAGTTTCTGAAGAAATTTCTCAGCTCTTCTGGAGATGGAATGAGTCTGCTCTTAGCTCATTGGTTTGCATGCTTTTCAGGTATGGTGTACAGAAGGATGGTGGAAAGACATTTTAAATTTCTGCAAGGAGTTACAAATCAATGGTAGCACTTCCCCATCCTATCACATTCTCTCGTGTCAGATGCTTTGCACAAAACAGTGGCGTAGATTGCAGCAGTCAGTGGGTGGGTGGCTCCTTTGGGTTGCTGTTCTTACCAGCATCAATACCACAAAGCAATTTGAACTGTTCCTTCTATTGCTTTCTCCAGCATCACTCCACTTCATTCCTCACTGCTGAACCTTTATGGCACTTTCAGCTATTTTGCCTCTCTGTGTGCATTAGTTCATTGACTGTGCTGGAGGGTGGTGCAGGCAGGGTGCTTTCTGGCTCTTTCTTGTGGCTGGCAAATGAGAGCAAGGAAGGATCTGTTTAGGGGTTACATTCCTTCATCACCTTGAAAGTGTTCAGACTTTGGATAGACTTTCATGCAGCAGGGTTTGTGTGTTAAACAGAGCTGGGCTTCAAGTCTTGTGTATTTTAAGGCTAATGTGAGTTTTCTGGGCCCAGATTCAAGGGAGAAGAGGGAGCTGAAAGCTGCTCTGTCTTTCCGTGTTTTGGAATGGTTAGTATGTTTATAGTAGCAAATCTATAATATCTTTAGGGCAGTGATGAATGATTGATCTTCAGTGCATTCTGCTGTCCATGTTCACCTTGGAGATGGTGCAGCAGCAGTCAGAAGTATGCTTCTAAACCAGCTGTTGTGATGCAAGTGAGGTGATGGACATCTGATTGGATCTCATTTAGTGTCTTTCCTTTGTTTGGCTGGTTGCTACTTTATGTGCGTGCACTTCTGTTGTAGAAGGCAACTCACTGCAGAAAAGCTTTTAAACATCATAAGATATTAAAAATGGCATTGTCCAAGCCTACAGAGCCTCTTCTTCTCTTGCTCTGTCTGCCCCTTCCTCCTCTCCATCACAGCTGGTCTAACTATTGTTGTCAGTAGTATGTCCAAAGCATAGCCATTAGTCTCTTCCCTCCCTGTGTGAGCTCCTGCAGATAATGGAGTCATCTTTTCCTTCACTGTTCTCAATGGCCCAGAAGCTGAGGTTGGTGATTTCTTTTTCCTGATTGTCTGTTGAAATCCTTATTCTGTGGCTTTGTGTGCAGAGTTGCAAATTGCCATTGCTTGCTTCTTCCCCTTAAGGCGGTGCCAGAGAACTCTGTAAAAACCGATAGTACCAATTATAGAGGACCAAATGACTTGCACGGCTTAGTTAGGAGTGAGCGAATGTGTGATAGATGAGAAGTTGGGTGAAATGCAGGACTGGTGAGTACAGGTTGGCTATATGTGGGATTTAGTGGAAGGACATTGGTGACGTAGCCAATGTTCTGTGTCCTCAAAGGAAAAGAAGGGAGATTCATGACATAAACTCCTTTCCTGCAGCAGTCAGGGCCTTACAGCCATTGTCCTTGACTTTAATCATCTTCTCAGAAGCCAGTGCTTGTCCTCACATTCCGAAGGATGAATTTGCTTCTCCAAGACCCCAGCAGAGCTGCAGCTGCTGTGCGCAAACTGAAAATAAATGCTGTACGTTGTTTCAGTATCCAGCGGTCTGCATAGAAACATTTTTATGCAGGAGGTTTTGTCTCTCTTTCTCAAATTGTCTTTGAAAGTATTTTTTGCTTGCGAAAATGTGTGTTCTAGTTCCTGAAAATTGAAAGGGTGTGCTTTGTACATCATGGTTTCAAAATTAGGAAAGTTGAAGAACATCCTCAGCAGCTGAGGAACTAAGTCTGAACTAATTACTATCCAATGGCCATATTGCATCATAAATCCTTACTGTACTTCACAAGGTGCTCTTTTTGTTTCCTTTTATTCTTTTCCCTCTTCTTTCTTTTGGTAGTTTCCTTAATCATTTTTCTGCACTCTAGGGAGAGTCCCTCAGAGATGCAGACAGTTGTCCATCTCTCAGTGTCCATCTTGAGATACCTCCCAGCCCATGATGTGTGAGCTTGACATGAGGACGCTGTATCTGATCTATTCCAGTTAGGTTGAGAGATTTGTGAATCACGGAGTGGTCTGAGTGCCTGGTCACACATGGAAAGTAAATGTCAGATGTGCTTTGGGGAGATGTTCTGACTGAGAGATGTTTGCTTTGAACCTTTTAGCAGAGTTATTGACCACTGCAGTCCTGGATTGGTACAGAGGAATTTATAGAGATGAAAAAATGTATTTCCCAACACATTTACTTGGATGTATATCTTCCAGAGTTCATTTTCTGCATGCTACTTACCTCTGTCTTGTGTTGCTTTTTGGTTTTGTTTTTTGCTGGGCCTTTTCTTTAATAGACGGTACTGAATAATAGCTGTTCTCCTGTTTCAGCCAAGAGTTGAAACAAAACCCGAAGCTCAATCTCAGCCTCCTCGCGTGCGTGAGCAGCGCCCAAGGGAACGACCAGGATTTCCACCCCGTGGACCTCGACCAGGTCAGCTCATGGAGCTTTGTGGGGCTGGGTAGGAGTGGTGACTCCTTGAGGGATCTTGCTGTAACTGTACTGTATTTGACTGATCGTGAACTGTCCACTCGTACCGTCTTCAACTGGAAATGTGGAAAATGATACTGAATCTGAACTGGGAATTGATCTGATACAGAGTTGAGGTATTTCCAGTCCTCTGTTCTACTGAATTCCTTTTTAATAGCCAGACCACTTGCTTATGTGCCGGAATACCTTCTGTGTGATTCAGTACAATTCCAAAAAGGTATTCCAGAAATATTTTTTTTCCATGTGCCTTGATTTTTATTGAATGATGAAAGTAAAAGCTCTTAAGCAGCTGTAGCGCTCTTTATTTTAGAAGAAAACCTTCCAGCCATCTTGGCCTCAAACAGTTAATAATTCTACACATATTTTTCCATCCTGCTGCCTGTTCTGGGTTTGGCTGCCTTGTGTTTGTACTCACCTATGAGCAGCCACACTTCAACATTTCCTGGCTGATACAGAGTACCCAAATCCATGGGGTGGCTTTGCTAGCAAAGTTGCCTATGACTTGACAGGTATTAGAAGTGGTGTTGGAACATGAAAGTGCTCTGAGTGGCATTCATCAGTCTGACCTGGTCAATTGGTAGCCTCTGCTCAGTGGTGGACAAAAAGTACTCAGCCCAAGGCTATAATCATTGATGGTTGAATAGCTAACGAAGGTACGAACCATGCATATGAGTCATGAGTTGCAAGGAAGAGAGTGATGTTTGCGACTGTTCCAAGTGCTAGCAAAAAGTTGTCAGGAGCTTGCAAAGTGCTGCATGCAGGAGTGGTTAAGTCTCAGCAGCTGTGAGCTTCTCTACCAGCTCTGATTCATTTGGTCTGATAGAAGTGTTCAGTGAGATTGAGGTCAGCCTTAAAAGTGCTGTTTGCTTTTGGCTTTGATCAATGCAGGCATTTCCTCACATGGGAGCAAAACTGAACTGAAAAGACTTAAGGTACCAAGAACTGTAACGTGTGCTACAAGTTAACATCCCTTTTTTTCTCCCCCCCCTTTCCCCCCCCCAGTGTGTAATATGCAACAGGGAGTGGAAGATGCAACTTGTGGCTAAATCAAGTTGCTCATCTCCATTTTTCCTACTCTTGAATGTAAATACAACAAAACCATAACAAAAATCATACAGACAATGTGTACCAGAGCCCGAGTCCTTTGATTGTGATCTTACTGGGTGGGTGGCAGGGGACAGAGATGAAATCTCCATTAACCAATGGTAGAGATCCTACTCTATCATCTCCTCTTCAAAGTAAGTCTGTGAACAGCCTTTGCTGCTGTTAAAAGTGCTTCAGCTGAGATGAAGAGGTTACAAACTCTCACTTCTGCTTGGAATAAAAAGGTTGGAAGACGAAAGATAGGGGACTAGAAGCATGACTGTTCAGTACAAAATAAAGGTGGTGTTTTTATGTGAAGGAATAGATAAAGTGGTGACTTAAATCTAATTTTTTTTTTTTAATACATTGTGATAAGTACAAAGCTCCTCTTCTTTATAAGGTACAGGAGGTTTGAGCGCACATGTTTGGTGCTAATTGCAGGTGGATGTGTTGGAGCCTACGCACTAATTCTAACTGCAGTGTCTCTGCTTTCTTCTTTCCCCTGACACAGGGAGAGGGGATGTGGAGCAAAATGAGTCGGACAATCGCCGAATAATCCGCTACCCAGACAGCCATCAGCTGTTTGTTGGGAACCTGCCGCATGACATCGACGAGAGTGAACTGAAAGAGTTCTTCATGAGTAAGTACCAACTTCAGACTAAGGAACGAAACAGATGTGCTGTGTCAGAGACGTGTGTGACATTCACGTATGGTGTCACAGAGGAATTCGTATGTGGTGTTGGCTGAGAAGAAGCAGAAGGTGGTAAATCATGGTTTTTGTTCATATGGCTTTTTCCTTCCACAGGCTTTGGAAATGTGGTTGAACTCCGCATCAACACAAAGGGAGTTGGAGGAAAACTGCCCAACTTTGGATTTGTGGTATTTGATGATTCTGAGCCAGTCCAGAGAATTTTGGTTGCAAAAGTAAGTATTGGCATCCACCAAAGGATAGGCTGAATGCCCTGAAGCCCATGTGGTATTGTCTGTCCCAGTTTATTCCTGAGGCTGAGAAAAAGGAGCATGGTTACTTGCAGGTGTGACTTGAGGAACTGGTGAAGAGAACGCAGCAGTTCTCCTTTCTAGCGTTTGGGAGCTAAACTCCTCTACCAGGTTCTTGAGCTTTGAGATGGAAAGACAAAAGCCAGAAGTTACAAGACCAAAGACAACCCCTGTTCTTATTTAGAAACATTTGAATTCTTTGCGTGCCAATGAATTAAAAATAGTATTCCATTTCATAGAATCATAGAATGGCCTGAGTTGATCATCTAGTTTCAACTGCTCTGCTATGTGCAGGGTCACCAGCCACCAGACCAGGCTGCCCAGAGCCACATCCAGCCTGGCCTTGAATGCTTCCAGCGATGGAGCATCCACAACATCCTTGGGCAACCTGTTTCAGTGTGTCACCACCCTCTGTGTGAAAAGCTTCCTCCTAATATCTAACATAAACCTCCCCTGTCTCAGTTTAAAACTATTTCCCCTTGTCCTGTCACTATCCACCCTTGTATACAGTCCTCCTCCCTCTTGTTTATATGCCCTTTCAAATATTGGAAGGTCACAGTGAGGTCTTCCTGGAGCCTTCTCTTCTCCAAGCTAAAAAAGCCCGGTTCCCTCAGTCTTTTTTTGTAGGAGAGGTGCTCCAGCCCTCTGATCATTTTAGTGACATTTAGGGCTGAGGTTATGTGTTGCAGGAAACTGTTAGTTTTTCTGTCCAACATGTAAGGGTAGCCAGAGGCATGCAGTGAATGTGGTGTTTTCTGTTCGTTGTATAAATGGATGTTGTGAACTGGTGACTAATGTGTGCCTTGAATATTTTCCCTGTAAGCCCATTATGTTCCGGGGTGAGGTGCGCTTGAACGTAGAAGAGAAAAAAACAAGAGCTGCTCGTGAGAGAGAGACCCGAGGCGGAGGTGATGACCGTAGGGATATTCGGCGCAATGATAGAGGCCCTGGGGGTCCCCGTGGAATAGTGGGTGGTGGCATGATGCGCGACCGCGACGGCCGAGGACCCCCTCCAAGGGGAGGCATGGCGCAGAAGCTCGGCTCTGGACGAGGCAGTGGGCAGATGGAAGGGCGCTTCACGGGACAGCGTCGCTGAACTCCACCGCAGGCAGACGGTCCTGGCAGTGGTACATCATCCATCGTGTTTGCATTCTTGTTCATTTCTTTTGGCTTTGGAATGTGACACCGCCCTTCTGATCATTTCTTTGATGTGAAAGCATCCTTTGGTTTCCGGTTTAAATTAAAGTGGACGTTCTTTCCCCAGTTTCACAACAGAAGTCACACTGTTAATTTATAAATGTTGACTTGGAGAATTGAGGACTGGAAAGATTAAAAAAAAAAAAACAACAACAAAAACAACAAAACAGTAAACTGTCTGCAACAAAAGTGAACTGAAGGACATGCCCAATAAAATTCAGGTCCTTACAGTCAAAGCCCTCTGCTGCACATTTTGTGTAAGTGTTACTGTTTCTGCCTGTTACTGTTGGAAACACAGTGCAATTTGTGCAATCGGAGAAGCTTGCCTTTTTGTTTTCTTTTGTTTTTTTTTTTTTTTAGAACACTTGGCTCCAAACAAACTCTTGTTTACGCACTCATCAAAATGCACTACTGGGTACTTTGAACTCGTGTATTGACATCTGCAGGAGGCATCGGAGGAAAAAACCCTTCTTTCTCTTATTCAGACAGAATAGCTTGTGAAATGGTGCGGGCATCCAACCTGCTTGCTGTGACCAACATATGCACACACACAAACCTTAACAAGACTATGAGTTCATTCCAGAAGGAATCCATTTAGCTGTTAACTAAACAGAACCTAGAGTTTCGAAGCCGTAGTCCTGAGTCCTTAATGAGTTTGATAGCTCACGTCAGATTTTTCTATCTGCCCCTCTTCATACAGGGATGGCTGCTCAACACACTCCTCCTTCCCCTCTCCCCTTCGATAAGCATTGTACGGTGAAAATTGTCTTGACTGTATTTGAGTTCTCTGGTAATGTAACAAGCATGATGGTGCCTTCTATGAATACATCATTCCAGTCTTGCTGGTGATTTTGTACAGTGTAGTGTATGAACTACTGTCCTGCAAAGCCAATTGGCTGCAACGCATCTGAAAAAATCACGGAAAAAATGTATTAAAAATTGCAGTATCTGTCAATCAGTAAACGTTGCTGAAATTATCATCCACCTTGCTCTTCAATTAACAAGTTCGTCTGTTCTTTTGCAGCGGGGGGGAAGGGAGGAAGAAGGCATCTAATAGTCTCCAGGTTGTCTCTTCTCTTTAATCATTGTCAAACTTAAGGAAAACGGAGCGAGATCTCTCTGGGATGTTTCAGAAGCCAGTTTGGAACGATGAACACTTTTGGCCAGCTCGTGATCAGTAGAACTGAGTGTCCCTTGTGCTGGTGAGCATATCAATGTGGATACTGCAATTTTCAGAGAACAACACAGCAGCTCTTGAGTATTTGCATTTTTCAGTTGTGCTTTTTTTAAAACTCATTTTGCACATAACTCTTAGCTGAAGTTGACACCGTGGCTCTGGACTAAATGATAGGAAAGAGACGTCGTCTTCTTCAGTTTCAAGTGTGAGTTTTCCAGGTTGAGAGGTCTGTTTCTGGATGGCATTCTGGAGCACGTTCCCATCAGCTGCAGCAGGCAGTGTGTTTGGGCTTGGTGCTGGGGCGGGCAGTGAGCACTAAGCTCCGGTGCATCAGAGTGAAAGAGGGGTGTGTGTTTGATGTGAGTCTGTGTGACAGTGTGACCGCTTAAAGCTGCTTCTAAACATGGAAGACCTCAAAAAACAGCAATCTGAAGCAAAAGCAGACAGGACATAGCATTAGTCTGTCCCTGGATTATGCATTCCCTTGCTGTTTTCAAGTCAGCTGGGAGATTTTGCACATACTTTACTTCTACATCTGGCAAAGTGAAGAGGCATCTGTTTTCTCCCAGAGGCAGGGTCTTCTGTGCATGATAAGTCTTGCACTGTGTTCATAAACATTTTTTTTTCTGAAGGACGTTTCTTCTTGTCTCCTTTTTTTTTTTATGTTTCAGTTTTTCATTGAAAGTCTTTCACATGTTCAGCTGTTACCTGGAAACCTGTAGTACTTGAACTGCTCAACACACAGCTCTACTTGTGTTCGAAGCCTTTGGACAAATTGCTGCCTTCAATTAGCAGTTTGTCAATGCTGTGTTTTGTGTAGGGATTTTTTCTTTTTTTTTTTTTTTTTTCCTTTTATAGTGGAATGGCGTTTAGTTACCACCCGTTTCATTTGTATGGCAAAGAGCACTGGGGATAATCTGAACGACAACAAAAAGGAGCATTAAGAGCCATTCCATTTTCTGGCTTGCTTCTTGCATAAGTGACGTGAGAATGATTGGAATGTCATCTGGAGAAGTTTACATGGTAACTGTTCATCGCTGGACTCTTACGTGTTCTTGACCCTCTTAGTAAATGTACCTCATTGAGCAAAGGAAGGGATTTGCTGACCGTTGCTGTTTGTTGCTGGTTTGTGGGTAGTGGGAGTGTTTTGTCATTACGGTTCTATTTTGACCAACTTGGCTGACCATTCTGGCTTCATAGTTCTACAACAGTGGATTACCATCCTTTTTGCTGTAATGTGTCAAGCACTATATGCTCGTAGATTCTAGTTTAATTGTTGCAGGTGGAAAGTATTTTTAAGTTTCCATTCTGAATGTGTTTTGACTGAACATACCAATAAACTACTGATGTCTGCAGCATTGACCCATGTCCCGAGTTCTCTTGAAGATTCTCTTGTAGGTTGCCATGGAACGCTGCTTCAATCCTTGCTAAACAGAAAATACCTTCTTGAGAGGAACGGGAGCTGCATGTCTTCAAGGAACAAATCTGTAGTTGCTGTTCTGGTCCACAGCGTTACTTATCATGACACCGAGGAACTGATTCTTCTGTTGAAAGCAATCTGTTAAACCCTTTCTTGTGTTAAGTGGCTTGGTCATGCCAGCGTTTGCCCAGAAAGGCTGGTGAAAAGGTTGTTCTCACAGTGCTGTAGGGAAACAGTGTCCAAGCCGTAGGACCCCTGTGGAGCAGCTGTGGTCTGGATGAGGTTCTGATAGCTGCTGTGTGCCGTGTCCTCTGCCAAGTACATGTCTTGGTGGAATATTGCCTACCTATAGCAGCTCTGAGGCTTTATAAGTGTTACACAGTTGCATGAGTTGCAGTAGCAGAATGAGAAAGGGGAACCTGAAGAGAACACCAGTTCACATCTCTAAAACGTCTGAGAGCAGCCTTAACCACTTAAGGAGCTGCTGGGCCAGAGATGGTCAAAGAGACATAGTCCTTTCCGTGCTGCCTCCTAAGGCCCGGAAAGACCTGAACCTCCACTCTGGATTATAAAATGCACTGCAGAAGCTTGAGAAGGAGCTGATAGAGAGGGTGGTACCTGGAAATGAACAAGAATAACCAGGGGCTGATTGCATCTATGACAGGTACATATGCACTCACCACTCACCACTTTTGGTATTTGTGTGGCTGAATTGAAGTTACAAATCTGCATGCATCTCATGGCTGATAGGTTTTAATGGTCAAGGAAGCGTACAAAGTATCTGTGTGAAGGCATTTGTAGGAGAGTCCTGGGTGGTGCTGCTCTGAGGGAGTGTAGGAGCAGTTGATGGCTGTCAAAGGCAGAACACAATCAGCACTAGTGTGGCACCCTGGTGGTTCCCTAGGCACGGACACATGGTGCCACTGCTATAAGCTGCATGGATGTGCTCCTTACTGGCCCTCACAGACAATTATGCTGGGTGGCTTCTGCATTTCTGGTAGAAATATGCAGCTTGGGAAGGTCAGTCTGAAATGATGGAAGAAGCCAAGGCTGCTGCAGAACCCACTGCATGCTTGTAGTTACAGTTTGGCTTCCTGCAAAGGGAGGAATAGCCACCTGGGGTGTACCTTGCACTTGTTCTGAGTGGCTGGAGCAACAAGAGGCATGTGTGTGTACAGGACGTATAGATGAGGATGGCTTCTGCAGGTGCTGACAGTGCTCTCAGCTGCTGCCTCTTAATTCAGTTTCAGCTGCAGACGTTTTGATAGCCTTGAATTGCCTTCAGAGATAAGGAGTAGGAGCTCAACTCCCAAGGGGAAATCAGTTAAGTGAAACCTTTCTCCGCTATTGTTAATGGATTGCTTTTATTTCTCTGAAATGTTCTTTGCCAGCTCCATGCAGAGTTTTTTTTTCAGGCTAAATAAAACTCCAACAGATTTATTTGAGTTTCTACAATGTGAGCTTCTATGGGGATCCTTTCCCTCAATATTGGGACCAAACCAAAATAGTTTTCCTTCAGAGAATAACAGCCTGAGACAAGAAATGCTGCCCCATGGGTCCTTGTTATTCCTGTAAAACACAAACCACGGAACTCTGAATGGTTGCTGCACTCATGTAAAGCCTTTCTGTTGCCCACATTGCAGGGCAGAGTGGGTGAGCATCCAAAAGTGGACAAACATCCTCTGAAGGTGCACAGGTATAGGTAAATGGGGCGTGAGCAGGAAGAAATACTGTTGTAACATACAGAGACTTTAGAACGGACCTTACATAGCAAAACTTGGCCTTTGAACAACTTCAGAATATACCAAGAGCATGGAACTTTTTCTTTTTTTTTTTTTTTTTCTTTTTTTCCCCTTATTGCTAGCAGAGAGTCAGACAAATGCTAGAGAGAATAAAGGGTTCCAGTACCCATTAAGTTGCATGAAATTTCCAGGTCTGAATGCTCAGGCACACACACAAACGTTTTTAACTGCCTAGGAGGAAAGCTGTCTTTACACTGTACTTTCCCTTAGCTAAATAATGCATCGATGTTGTCCATATATACAGAAATTCCTATTTAGAAGTGGGATGTTGAGCTAATGAGGATCACAAACACAATACATCTTCAAAGCTTCTCAAAACTTAATAGTAATGCTTCTTCTGGAGCAGTGCCTGCAGTTCCCAGCAGATGCTGCACTCAGCTTCACTTGGCTCTGCTGCAGGTGGAGGGTTTTTTTTTTTTAAGTCCGTATTTGAGGGAGTACCAGGGATCCTGAGGGCTCTCCCCGAGAAATAATTTGTCATAGCATGTCAAGCATGTCATGGAATAGGAAAATTCCCACAATACAGAAAAACATAAAACTCTTTTTCTTGTTCTTCACCACAGATTAGATCTCATCAAACACCAACTGTGGGTGAACTCTGCATTTTTGTAATGACTCACACCAAGATGAAAAATGCAAAGCAGGGACAGCTTTGAGTCTAAAACTAAAACAATTG